GAGTAGACAAAGGGTTATGAAATGAGTTTATTGGAGCACTTATAGGTAGTCATTAATCACATATGTATTTTCGATGCCCTGACTTAAACCCCGTTAACTACTGAAGTGGTGGGGCGAAAACGACAGCTCATTCGCCGACTAACATACGGCGGCCCTTGCAAAAAACAGTTCTTTGTCGAGCAGAAGGGTCCCTATCTTGATTGCAGTTAAAATTACTCTCGTTTTGCAGCTGTCTTTATTCTAAAATGTTTGCATTACCAATACTGCACATGTAATAGGTACATAATTTTCAAAAAGCAATCGTGTGTATCTGTGACACGACCAGCCGAACACCTGGAAAAGACAGATTAGAACTGATACGAAGCTATCATTGTACCTTGGTCAGTTCTTGTGAACGTCCTGAATACAGCGCGCCGATCAAAACGCGTTTCGCAGACGTTTTCCTATGCGCAGAAGTTTTAAATTTTCCCACCAGCGAACAGGTGCCCGAGCTCGCGCATGCGTCGCACAGCACCCATGTCATATTAGGCGTTACCGCTCTGCGCAGAGCTCCACCGAATTGTCGAAAACCACTCACACGCCATCGTAGCAGATACACCCGCAGCCTCTAGGGGGCTACACATCGCCATGGAAGTAACACGGAAATCACACGCAAGGCAGCTTTCCTTCCATTAATGCATTTTACGACGCCGTACTATTGCAAAAGAAGTGTATGATTGCGGACAGTACGCGCACGATCAGGTTACGAAAAAGTTGATTTTTAAATACGATTCTAGTGGGAAATCTGCGTCTTCTATTAAATCTAATTGATGCCAAAAGATATTTGATAAAGTCGTGAATATGGGGTGTTGGCTGATCAAGTGCGTACTAACTCTTACTAGCGCAATTTGTATCCCCTAACATTTGCTAAAACGGATATAGTTTCCATTGTCACTCTTCGCCTCACGGATCTCATGCTAGATTTACGACAATCATATTCCCAAAGAACGAACCCAGAGTCTGGCATGTACTCTCGCTTCAGCTTGTGGAATTTATGAAGCAAGAAAATAAAATAAAAACGCGACATCGCCAATTTGTTAAAATTTGAACGAGTTTCACGCACAATTAGCTAGTTATCCGCACATTTATATATAATTATCAGAGTAAACTAATTGAAAATTAATAGAATACTAGTGCATCTAATCAGTACTGTGAAGTTCCCTGTTAAAAAATCCCCACTAAGGCTAAAACTAAACTAATAATGCCAATAGTAAATAGAGGGAAACCTATAAACTAGTTCGTGTTCGAAATTCATTGAGCGCATGTAAAAACATTGTTATAAATCACAGCGTCTCCTCGAATTCAGAGGTATGCGTTACGATGCTGCTTTAATACACGTTTCTACAACATATGGACAGTCTAACAATTACCCAAACACGCGTATTCCTTTTAAACTGTTAATAAACTGTGCCTAAATTAATACTGCTAATGTACATATTTCACACCACGAGTTATAGCTTCACTACCCTATATGGTCACATATACCTGGTAACATATGTATATGTGTTATCAGCACACGGATAGTAATGGTGTCTGATTGATTCCTTTACAGCATAAGAGCAAGGAGCAGAGCGAGAAAGAGAGAGCGAGAGTGAGAACGAGCAAGAGAGAGAGAACGTGCGAGACGGAAAACACACAGATATCAATGTAGACATACTATAGAAATATACACACTTATAAATAACGAGTAACATATTTTAACTGCGAGCTGACGTGACTTTCTCTCTTGCACTGTGGACGGTGAAGGTTTGCATTCTGTTGTAGCCTGACGAACATACATATAAGGTATCCAACGCTCGTAGTTAAAATACGAGCTTATTTATGGGACCTTATTATTGCCTTGCAAATAAACTGTGAGGCTGTCGTATTACTGTGCCACAAATCATAGATGTGTGTACACGCGTACGGACGCACGCATTTAATTGTAATTGATATACAGATATCGGTAATTAGAATATCTAAGAAAGGGGTTAGCTTGCTCTAAATTAAGTGCTGTGGTTAGCGCAACTGTTTTCGCAGTTAAATATTGAATATTAAGTACCGGATAATGGTTGATTGACTGTATGCACAAACATTGCGCGATGGCATTCGAGCAGGTGAAACAAACGCAAATAGAAGATACTTGAAGATACCACTTGCTTACACACGACGCATCTTTTATCAGGTGCGTATGCCTGTGTGTGTTTGTGTGTGTACGCACATATCAGACGAGATGGGTGTGATTTTAGAAACATCTGCCACACGAGCAGATTAGCTACCTATAAAAACATGTATCAAAAACAAATCTGATGATCATTGTCGCCTGTATCTATCTATTTTCAGGCAGGTTACCTGCTACGTCAAGGAACAGAGCTAGGGCCGTAAGCATGTCTGCGGCAGTAAATCGAAAGCAATCGGGTATTTATATTACACAAGAGCAGCGTTTCAGTGGAGTCCGTCTACCAATACTATAGCGTCACTATTCCACCGCAGTCGCTACGGGATTGCCACTACCCACGTCGTAGTAAGTACTTAGCAGTACCTCCAGCCAGCCTCGTTGCTAATATTACTGTCATTGTCAACGTTGGAAAGCCGATTGTTCACCAGCTACCAGCCCGACCTGCGCACACGTCGCGCGAGACACATTATCGCAAGCCAAACGTCTAACATCATAGCTCATTACGAAGTGATTATGATTATGAAAACCGACCTGAACTAAGTCTTATACATACACACATATATATATATATATATATATGTGTGTTTGTGTGTGTGTGTGTGTGTGTGTGTGTGTGTGTGTGTGTGTGTGTGTGTGCTGTGTGTGTGTGTGTGTGTGTGTGTGTGTGTGTGTGTGTGTGTGTGTATAGGGTGAGGCATGTCGGCCTATCGCGTGCGCGCAGCCTGCCGCGTGCGCGCAGCCTGCCACGTGCGACGCGCCGTATAGACAGACAAAGATAAGATCCTGTTGAGACGGCAGGTTAATCATCACAATCCAGTGGAGAGATACTTTCTCCAAATGCTCCTCGATCGTCAACGCAAATATTTGAAGAGATAGTGTGGAAATCGCAAACGAAGAGACGCGTTCTTCGCGCGAACGCAACTCAGCGCGTATATCAGAGCGTGGCCTTGTGACGGTGCGGGAGGCACACTGAGTGCCGCCACGACGCTAATGTATTTTTCATTGAGCAGTTAGCCGTGCATGTCTGTTAGCTCAGGGAACCTAGTGGCGTAATTATTCAATCACATCTACGTTATACGCAGCAGCGGCGAGATAAAAGCGTAGTGTTTGCAGAGAGCCGCGGAAAATAAACCGATAAAAATTAAGTGAAAAAGAAAAAAATGTTGTTTCTGTTTTTTCAGATCTAGCATTTCCATGTAATTAGATAAAAGATATAGATGAGAAGGAACAACACATGCACCTACGCGCCCGCTTGCATGTTCACACACGCGCACGCAGTACGCACGCCTGCACGCAGTACGCACGCCTGAGCGCAGAACGCACGCCTGCACGCAGTACGCACGCCTGAGCGCAATACGCACGCCTGAGCGCAGTACGCACGCCTGCACGCAGTACGCACGCCTGAGCGCAGTACGCACGCCTGAGCGCAGTACGCACGCCTGAACGCAGTACGCACGCCTGCACGCATACGCGTACATGCATACTACTATACGTACACGCACCAAAAACGCACACACGTCTATAGATACCCCCGCTATACACACGCACACGAGCGCTTAAGCATACATATACACACGTGCACACACATATTCACTCACTTACGCTTGCGCGCATTCATGCATACGTACACCCACGCACGCACGCACGCACGCACGCACCCACGCACGCACGCACGCACGCACGCATTTCCCTCGGTGTGGAGGGAGGGCATCGTGTGTGGTAGAACGCACCCCGAGCTCTCTTGTGCTATTAACTGCCGATTTCCGTTAACCCTGTTCACTTGTTAACTCGGTTCGTTCATCAATGGTGCCTAGCACACCGGTACGACAACACACAGGACAACACACGGCGACAAATCCAAGCCACGCGGCTCGCGCTGTAACAACCAATTTCACCGTCATTACGTTAACTCCTTGTAAACGTAGACCTACTCACTTCCATTCAACTCCATTCACGAGTACCGTATTTGCTTAGCTCATTGACGCATCGGTATTTTGCGCGTAGTGTATGTTACCTATGTGCAAGTATGAACCCATTCATCTTAACTCTCGCCTCATCTAATTCCTACACTTCACTTTTTAACCAAAGGGGAACTGGAATAAGAACCACATGGTAGCATAGGGAGAGGGGCAATTTAACACCGACAGCCTCCAAACTCGTTCGACTTTGTCAGTTAACAGATGCGATTTATTAAATTCTAATCAACAGCCAAACCATAACTAGATTTTGATTTAGACCCCCCCCCCCGACTTGCGGCCACTGCAGTGCTTGTAAACGGTGGTGAGCGACTCGTTTTCATGTCACCCGAACCCCTTCCCCCCGTACGCGTGCGATGGATCACGGCTATCACAATGGCATTTCATTCACGTGGCGGACACGCACACATTCACGGACAACAAGCACGCGCGCACAAACAACGAACGGGCGCCGGATGTTACTTTCTCACAATTTCGCTGCTTGTCATAATACGCCGAGCTGGCATCGCGCGTGCGAGCGTCCCCGTGCCATTACGTCTAGCTGAATCGTTCCATTGTACGCGCCGTGTTTATATCGCTGCCGTTATCGTAATCACCCGGTAATTCCGACCGAATGCAATTAAAGGAGCAAAATCCATTGTTATTTACAGTCGCGTCCAGTAGGTGGCATCAGTGAGATGGCGATTACTTGTGTCGTGCTAGTGCTGACTGACTGAGCCAGCTGCTGGGTACACGCGTGTAAAAGTCATTTGTAGGAATTAGAAATAAGAGGACTAGAATGAAACGGCGGTCTAACTTGGAATTTATACAGAGTTATTTATTTTGGAAAGATATTGACACAATAATTTTGCAAGGAGCATGGCAAAGAACGTGTTCACAGGCATCAGTCGTGCTTTGCATCCCAGAGTAACCGTCAACATCAATGCGACTAGAGATTCCTGCAATCCAGTAAAATACACATGCAGCACAATGTCTATGAGCTAGAAACTCCCACTCCTTATATTTGATTACATTTAATTAGGCTAGGGTATTAAATATGATTACATAATAACTTCCCAGATGTATACCACATTATGATTATGCTTGCTCTTTTAAAATCCAATTCATTTTTTTCTCGTGTATTCTTTGCACCTTAACATTGATCTTGTCTTCACCTCTGGAATAATCTATTGTGACCAGCCAATTTATACTGTTCTACCTCTATTTCTAGGTATGACTCATCAGTGCTGTTGCCTATGACTACCTGCGATAGCTGTGAAACTAAGGATCGCGGATGGGGGGAGAAGGTAGCAGGGGCACCCCCAGGTCCTGTAGTTCCTCTTCTGTCATTATTTGGTCACCTGGAAACAAAACAAACACATGACACGTACTAAAAGTACACACTGATAAAACAGTAGGTCATTTCTAAAGCAAAGCAATAAAGTACCCACTACTAGCTATCCAATAAATTACTAATCACAGAGTCATTAAAAATAAGTGACTGTTAATAATATATACTCTTAACCACTGCTATATTTTACAGTGTCACAAACTAACAAATAGAAAAACACATACGAGTAAAAATAAGTATATTCTATAGAAGTTCTATAAAATAAGTTTATCGGTAAAACCTATAAGCCCCCAGTATTTTGTTGAAATTATAAACGCAGCTATGCTGTCATGTCAGTACCTTTAGTGAGGGCCAGACTGCTGATACTACCAGAATCAGTAACAAACGGACCAACATTATTGTCCGCACATGATATGTGGTCACCTGGATACCTTGTCTTACTAATATTAGGCTGCAAAAAGAACATTAATTAAAAAATTCAGCTAGATTACCAAAATAATTTACAGTTAGACACGAGTGACTGCCGCAGCACCTAGACTGTACTGTCGTTACTGCTGCTGTGTTTAGTGAGTAAACTGTGCGAGCCTATATATGGAGCCATCGGAAGTTTTCACTCGTTAATTCGGTGCAAACCAAGGTTCTGTGCCAACAGCTGCAGAATTCCCACATACATTCGCAGCCTGTCACTATGGCAACCGTAAAAAAAGAATGCGTTGTGCTAGCATCGTCATATAAGGGATAAGTTATGACTAAAGGACCAGTTACGTACTCAAATTCTTTGGATATATACTTCATAATTCTGTATTATATAAAAAGGGTTGTATGGCCCATAAATAGAATAGTCACACTTTTTCGTTAATGCCACAATCGATTAATTTACGTGTTTTTTTTTACATATATACATGAGGAAGTGTGTGAATCACAAGTCAGTTAAAATGTTCCAATCATTCATATATTGTACGGATAGAGGTACTTTTTATATACAATAGATCACCATCTAACAAATCACGTTTCGATCACAATAGCTTAGCGTGTGACCAAATAATATTTTTTATACATCTTTCTGCCTAATAGGTCTACGTCACTGGCCAGTCGACATCTGCATTGCACTACCAATCGTCAGTCACGAAAGATCTACTAGACAATATGCACCAATTTCCTCACGATTTCACTTATTTCACGAATTATTGTTCATTGTGTCCAAAGATCAACAATTGGCAGTTGGTTATACCGAAAACATGCAAAATCTCAATTAGACATCTGGTTCAGTCGGAAAAAAAACAAGGAGAAAGGCTATAGGCCTCCAGCAAAGCCAGGCAACCAACCGCTAGGTCATATAAACCTAGCAAAGACATGCACTGCAACCTTGTCTATATTCACACGATGCTTGTTCAGTAATGAAAGACTGATTGAAACAACTGACACCTATATGCGATAACGCATGCATACCTGCAAACGCTTTCCAACTAACATTACTACAATTTTAAATGCTAGGATCATTCAATGCAATCTTGCAGATCAACAGTTTCTCAGAAATAATTTATTCATGAGATAGCTCAACGCCGATAACCTGAATTTGCTATAAGCAACGTATGGCTTTGTACTCGGATTCTCGCCAGTACCCACCCCATCGCAGTAACCCCCACGCGAACCCACAGAGACACCATCGCGGCAACGCCGCAACGCTGAGAAAAGTCTGCCAGCAGTTTGACGGTTGAAACTGTTAGCAACCGCAGTAGCTTTTGTCAGCGCTGGATGGAGGTCTCCCGTTTCAAGGCGGACAAACATTTGCCGTCGAATTTAAACAAAGTGAGATACTTTCGCTAATCCAGTTGAACGTATCTCGCTCGCCACGGGTATTGTACCACACCCACCAATGCCGCTGCAATGTTTGCAATCAAACACGGTCGCGCCTGTCAATAAAGGCGGGCACCAGCACAAGCTATCGACTGACGGGCCGCACAGCACGAGCCTTCTACACTACTTCTACACTTCCCGCTACCGAGATGATGCGTCAGTGCATCCCCGACGCACATTCGCATTACGCATATTTATCTTCGTCTATGGTTTTTATACTGAACGATTACATTAATAAGCAATTTTAGATATAAGCAAATCTGTGAATACTAAAATGTTCCTATTCCTATTAAGAATGGGCGCATTTATGTTTTTATATGCAATTTTCGCATTATAATATGAGTAAAACTATTACGGCCAAGTAAAATGCAATGTACGGCTAAGTTGTATTAAAAACGTTTGCTTAAAAATAAAAGTAAACGTGACTGTATTTAATTGATAAAGCGCGCATACAGAAACTGGAATGTAATACCGTCAGTCAGCACGCACGTACAGACAAAGAAATACAACGTGTACTCTAAAGTAACACGGGTATACGTAAACGAAAATGGAACATAATAGCCGGCGCTTTCACTTGCGGTGGCAGCGCTCACAAGCACGTATCGCACTGCGAGTATAGAAACCTGACTACTATTGCGCAGACCAGGTCACTGAACCAAATCCAACTAGTGCGCACGTAGAGTAATCTTAAGACTATATAGAGACATTCTTAGCAGGACCCCTTTAAGGGCATTATTGGCAAGGATGGGTCGGGCGCAAGGCTGAATGGTAATACGACAATAGATACGAGCAACTTGCGGGGGGATGCGCAGTATGGCAATGACAAAAGAGGGCGGGTGGGGTCGTCTCAGGCGGCACACCACAGCTAGAGTGTCTTTATCTAGAGGGACTCTAAATACGGCTAAGGAGCAGACGGAGAAATGATAGGGTAGCCGAGCCGGCATCGAGCAACAATAATCTCAGTCGTATGTTGCCCGTCAATGAGCGCTATTCACCGCGAGAACTGGGCGGTCGGGAAATGTTTCAGAAACGCGCTTTCAACTTGTCGCGAGGTATCCGGCCACGTACATTAGCGTGCTTTCACTTAGAGTACCCACCTCAATCGTACGTATACACAACTACGGACAGATACAATGAAGAACAGTATAAGTGGATTACATGCTAGACACGGGTTTTCCTACACTACTCGTGCTGCTATATACAGGGCGGTGGACACACAAGGCTATTAAACGAGTTAAAATTTTCAAACCCAAACTATGATAACTACTATAGCCAAGACACTCGCTGTGCAATACAATGAGCCTGTATCCATTCGTTCCGCTAATGGTACACGTAAATACACACTGTCTCCAAAATGTATTTTCCTCAGACAGACCAACAACAACGGAAACGTTAACCTAAGCGTTAGGGATAAGATGGCGCGCAAATTGTGTTGAAGTGAGAGCAGTTTACATATTAATATATTGTAAGAGATACTCTATCTGTATTTACACCTGGTTGGCAATGCGGGCGTTAACGCTTGTACACGCACAAGCATATTATGCCATTATCTACATAATTGAGTAAAACGTCAAGACTATATAGACGCCGCGATACTGAATTCATAAGCCATCAGAAACTCTATTTGCTACAAACCGGACCACTACACATATAACCCAAACAAAACACTCCAGTCGAGACGTACCCGCCCCCCTTTGCCGCCACCAAGAAGGGAAGCAGATAACGACAATAACTTTATGCAACCATCTTTAATCTGAATGCGAAATTACTAAATAACCACTAAGCAGCTCAAAATCGATCACGCAACGATTGCCGTAGCCAACCGCAAATATAGATTATAAACATTCTAATCAAATAACGGAACGTATAATGCTGCTCAGGACTTCTCTCTTGTGTAAGCCCCTACTATTACTGTTACTATTACTACACGCGCAGTAGTTTGTCCGCTTGGCTCGCTTTCGCTCTTATATTTCCCCCTGCAATTAAGCGCGCACGCTAAAAAGCTCGATTTTTCAGCGAACGCACCACCATCGATGTTTGTCAATACGCGACGATTCAGATAATGATTATGTGTGAGCTGCTTTGCCTGATAAAGGCACAATGGCGGCGCGCGTCGGGCGGGTGCCCAGACACAATACGACGCTGGTTCGTGTAACCGGCAAGCCAGCTAGACCGGCAACGGGCGGCCGCTACAACGAACAGAGCACGCAAGGCGACGCTGCCACGCGATAACTAAATATAACCTAGCGTCTTACGTGTGCATGCGTGCATATATATATATATATATATATATATATATATGAATGTACAGTCCATCTAAAGTAGGAATAGTGATAAATTCCGGCCACTGTCTGACAGTTCTATTGGTCCGTCGAGAATCAACTCAATCTGAATTCTGTAAAGTTCGACTGCTTTCTACACTTCGCATTATCATTCTGTTTGATTGCCGGCGCCAACTGATTCAGGCACCCCCGCCTCTGTGTTTAACGTAAGCGTTTTATCTCGTGTTTGCTGCGCCGAGTGATGCCTACGCGAACCCTGCATCTTTCCGCACCTCACACTCTGCGTTTCGCGCCCATTTCTACATTAGCAGTGTTATCTCGTGAGGGGATGCAGCCGAGTGTGTGTGTATACACGGGCAATTGCTGTTTGCGTAGCGCGGTTCAGTGGGTCAGGAGTGGTCTGTGTAACGACACACCTGTGTGCTCCCGCGCGCGTCGCACAATCAAGCATGTAAAATCATTTCGTTCTCATTAACCAGTCGCCGCCTTAATTAGGGATGCAGCGGAGAAAACGAACCGACAAGGAAACGCGGAGTTCTATTTAAATGCATCGTATCAGCACAACAGCGGCACGCATGACTGAATCCACTCAATTGAACATCGCACGCCCTCGCGTTACGTTTGTGAGCCAATTAGCCATACCACACTAATTGTTTAATACACAGAGAATCAGTCATTATGAAGCTATATTTGCTCATTTCGATATTCACTCCTCTTGTTTTTCCTGTGTGATTTGTATTTTAGCTGGCATTAACTACCAATTAATTGGCTGCATTAGTATTGTTATGCATGTATAAATACAGTGAAAATATTGCTGCTTTGGCCGCATTCAAGCGTGCTCACTTGCCATGTGAGATCGCAATTAGCTATTATGATTAGCCCCTGTTAATTGAATATTAACTGACAATGTACCGCAAAACACCTCTAGTAATGGAAACTTTAATTAGACCTGCTCAATGTTATCTCATCGGGTAACGCACACTGTGCGTTGTCTGCAGTTTAATGCCGATTGCCAAATTAAATACAGCTTGTCACGCGTGCCATCCCCCTATTCCCGAAACATAGTTCAGCTAACAAAAGGTCGGTTATCAGTTTGCTGTGGCAAAATGGTAACACGTCTTTCTCTCGCCAATTAGTACTCGGATCAAAGAGTTGTCATTCATATTATAGTACGTGTTGGCTTATTACACAGCATACTCTGCTTGAGACTGAAACTGACTGACAAAAATATGTTTCAACTTCACGACTCCTTTTCGAATAATCAACGCTTTCGCGTTTATAAAAAAAAACAATGTCTAGCACCATAAAGCTCCAAGCAACTAGCTCTTCGCAGCCGATTCCATGTTTTGTTTGTTCATGTGATAGAGTTACAGGTGACACCACGAAACATCTTCCGGTAACCTCTGACCTGTACCTGTCTCAGTGACGGCAGGGAGAGGTCGCCGGTATTAACACAATGTGTCACAGTCGCACCTGCCTAGCGTAAGTTCCGAGCAGCACAAAAGCGCTGCTTGTTTGCACACGATAAACCCCACGACCACAATATGCAACGACGATGATACAAATACGCATATTAAAGCCAGCCATAGTGGTTGCGCAGGCAGTAAGTGTGATAGGATGTCTGTGAAGGGCCAGACATGTTATGTAACTATAAGTAGATCCTGAATAGGGCAATTGAAGTGGTTCGCTATATATGAATTACAGCATGTTTCTATCTAACAGTACCTACTATAGTTTCCACTCCATTAGCATTTACAGAAATAGGTAGAGTGTCTGTCTTTACTTGCGAATGACCTACTCAATTTCAGCTAGCAATAATACACACGTGTATGTATGGGGAAATATAATTAAACATAAATGCGCAATTACAACATCTAAGATCGGTTTACAAATGTAATATGTAGTGAATTGTATTTTTTTTTTATAATGTAAAAATTATCACTGAATTTCTTGCGCATTCTAACGTGAGTAAATGGAGTTTTTAGAGGGTCTATCACAGTGTGTTATCAAGGCGGGAAATTCAATCAATCATAGCTTAGGTGAAATATAAACCCATGATACCTGGGCCTTTAAGCCCAAACTCTGCTAGTGAAGCAAATGCCAAGGAAAGTAATGGTAAAACCTACGCGCGGAAGCAGGTGCCTGAATCAATTGGATATTTGTGCGCACACATAATACTTCGCCCAAACCAGATGACGATTCTCCCACAATTTTCTGCTGCTTGCAATAACACACTGTGTATGTGTGTGTGTGTGTGTGTGTGTGTGTGTGTGTGTGTGTGTGTGTGTGTGTGTGTGTGTGTGTGTGTGTGTGTGTGTGTGTGTGTAAAAGCAGCATGGGCTCAGAGTGAGTCTGTGCGAGTGGCGGCCCGCAGTAGGAAGCGGCGAACATCAGAACGCACGTGCCGAAAGACAACGATGTTTGTCGCAGGGCATCTGCAAACAGGAGGACGTGCACACCGACCATGCAATGTGCGATGACAGCCTCTTACAAAACGTTTCGTAAACTTCCTCAACGCTTCGGCGTGATCCCAGTCTGGACAAACACTGCTCATGAATAGTCATCTCCCTCTTCTCCTCTCCGGGAAGGACTTCCCTTCAATGCCCTACAGCAGACTGGGGCAAGCACAGGAGGTAGGGGAGCAGAGGAATAGAGAAGAGCTTATAGTTCGGCTTGATTTATGCCTAATATGTTTCATTATATTTATAGATGACTTTGTTAATGCTGATTATTTGAGTTTGCCGAAAGATAGACCTAAATACGATTGTAGAACATGAAGGACATCCGACGTTAACAGCCGGAAACCACCTCTGTGAGAAATCGGGAAGACCCATAAGCAAACCCTTCAGCTACAAGGAAAGAGGAAGAGTCCAGCACTATTTACACTAGCAAAAGTGGGTCACACACCACAGAAATGTCCTCATTCTTTGTGGGTGGCTAAATAAGGAACCCGTCTCCTGCATTTTGGGGGCAAAAGTGATCGTTTCGTTGAGACAACAATCGTGGCATAGAAATGGGTCATAGGTTGCGAAAGTGAGAGTACTACCACCTGCACATGAAAGAGAGACAACTCCACTGTCACTCTGTATTCTTCCAGCTGTTCCTAAACATACATCGCTTACAAACAATAACCAAGCAGACACTGAGATGTTGCCTGTTACCATGCGAAACAGCCCAGTAAAAGAACGGTGGCCCATTGTTGTCATACATCTGTAATTTACCGACAGCTCATTATCCATGTGTGCATGCACCAATGAGGCATTATGCCATACACTTTACAGTCAACTTAGCATCAGCATAACATAATACAGCTCATATATTTCACATTACATGTATCATCATATCTCAGCAATAATAACTAAAGTTATATATGGGAAGAAAATAGAGTTAACCCCACTAGCTTATAAATATAAACTAGACAGAGGGCACTCACGGAGAGTGCATACCTCCGCGAGCGTGTAACATGTATGTGTATAACAGCTGGCGTGCTGCTGGCTGCTGCTGACTGGACGCCCTAAGGCGAGCTGCTGCTGACTCTGACTGCCCTAAGGCGACGCTGCTGCTGACTGAACGCCCTAAGCTGAGCTGCTGCTACTGGATGCCCTAAGCGCCAGTGCTGCTGAATTCCGATTCGCGTTTGCTCATAACGCTACCCCACACACACACACAAGACCGATTACATGACCTCCGTTGCCCGGAGGTAATAAGTATATATATATATATAATTATTAATAATAATAATACTTACCAATGGTTTCTTTGATGAAATTATAGGTGGTTGACTAGGGACAATACCTAATGGACTATCACACTGAAATACAATCCATTAAAGGCAAGTCAATTTAAAACGAGGATAATCTCATAAATGTAATATTTTGTTTCAACTTGTATTCGTCTATGGCAACGCACGTTCGAATTGATCACCTTCATGTATTTTAAAATTAATCGGTTCTATGTATACTAACTACTGCAGTCTTCGGTGGATAGGTTTCAAGCACGTGCTGCCCTCTAGTGGAAAATTAGGTTTCTAATATAACACGTTTTAGCAGGCAATTCTGTCAAACGCTACTTACATCGTCCGCTAAAAAGAATGTCTTCTTGTTATACATCACAGTTGACCCAATATCTATGAGAATCTTATTATAGTTATATGGTACCAAAATCCGAAAGGTGCTTAAATCATACATAGCCATATGCAACTGTGGCATAACGTATTGACGTAGTCTGCCGGTGTAAACTCTGACGCAGATAGCTTTCATCCTTGAGTGCATGAATACTGCAATGAGTAAATTTAGATAACGTTTAGTTGGATTCAATTACTGTACAGCCTCCATGATAAGAACATTTGAATAAAACAGTAAACTTTGTCATTATTGTTTCTAGTAAGATAAAACGTGGAAGTTAACATGCACGCCCACTCTATGTGCCTACAGCTTAATTGGACTGCCATAACCACATATTAAAAAATTTACTAAACCCATCATTGAAATCTAATTACAATATATAATTATATGTGTCATTGTGTGCCAAACCTTTGCTGAAGAATTGCACATTTCTTCTCCCACTTATAGTTAGTTTTCTTCAGCTCACTTTTTAACCTGTTAAAAGCAATTAGTCAAGCAATCAAGGTTCATAGCAAATACAGAATCAGGATTTACAGAATCAGGCACACTATAGAACGAAGGCAGTATCAAAATAATAATTTACATTCTGCTGAAAATATAGATTGCTTGGTAATCCAGGGTATAAGGAGTGAGACCTTGGAGAATTATAATTCCTCGTAGCAAACCGAGTCATAATTAACAAATCTATACCTTTCAATCTCTACTTCTAAAAGTTTCTTTACACGTTTTGCCTGATTCCAGTCATGAGCTGTTCCACCAGATTCAGGAATTTGCTTTTCCTGTGAAAAAAACACACGTGAACTATAGGCATATATGTAATCCAATCACACAAAAATCACATTACTATTAATTAACTCGGAACTACCTAATCCAATCACAGGTTTCCATTCCCATCGAATTCTATGTGAAATACATCAATGATCTTAGTTACTTTACAGAACAATACACTGCAGAGCAGAGTAAAAAACACATCATGGTGCAAAATATTCAGATGTTAATTTACAGATACACATTGCTGAAACCTATCATGTTCTACAGTATGAACCAGCAACACAGAGACTTACAAGGTTTTAACCTCACAATGAATGTTAAGATCCTATGTGCTATTCTGCAGTAATATGTGTGTCATATGTATCGCTTTGATGGCGTGGCAAATTTATCACCCATTACTCAAAGTGGCTCCACTCACCTGGGCATCCTCCACCTGCTTCTTCACCTTGTCATCAAGTAATTGCCGCTGCCTCTCCATATCTTTTAGTGCCTGATGATCCTTTGCTGCTTGGGCTTGCAGTGCCTTCTTTGTGTTCATCATATGGCTCTCCATCTCTTTCTCAATATTTCGCATCTGCAGCTCCATCTGTCACAGATTGATGAGCGAAATATCAGAGAATTGAAGAATAAGTCACATCCTGACTGATGATAAGTGAATTAACACAGCTCATGACTTATTGCTCTTCCACAGACTTTCTACAATGCACCGGATAAACTGATGCAGTGAGGTGTGTGTGCACCACAAACGCACACAGCAATGAAACAGAGATGGCACCTCCGACATAGAGTACCATTTTTCGCTGAGTTTCTTTTTCCCTCTCAATCAACTGTTGCAGCCTTTGGATTTCTTGCTCCATCTGCATTCGCACAGACAAAAGAAAATAAAGAATGAAATAAGAAAAACGCGGAGAAAATATTTAAGAGCACAGAAGAGGAAAATGCTAATCAGAATTATATATCACATCTAGACATTTTATTCTAATATTACAAACATGATAGCTAGACCATATACGTTTGTACATGTCTGCTCATATGATAAGGAGGATGCAATATCCTGCTAAAGCTAGTAATCAAATGTAGTTATTACATATATTCCAAATACATTTTCCTAAATAAGGTTCTCTATGAGTTTTGTTATATTTGGCCATACACACAAACACACACACACACATGCACGCAAATGCACATGCACGCAAATGCACGCATGCACCTAATCTGTTTATACCATCATGATTTAGGATATTTTACCTGCTCCGACAGCTTCCTCTCAGAAGCCAATTGTTTCTCTTGGGTTTCAGATTCCGTTCCTGTAAGCATTGCAGAACATTAGGATATATACTGGCTAGAGCAATATAACCATCCCCAATCACATATATGTCTACTAAATGTTATGTACACTTACTTAATGCATCTATGGTGTCATCCTTTTGCTTTACCTCCCTCTGCAAGTGAAGGGCATCCTTTTTCCATTTTCGCACCTCCTCCTCTAACTTTTGCAGGTCTTCTGATGAGATGAGTGATTCAGGATTCACCTCTATTTGGTCTTCCTTTTCCTCCTCCTCTTCCTCTTCCCCCATCTAGAAACATTCACAAAGAGAAGTGCTAAATAACAATGCATATGAAGTATACTCTTAACAGTATTCAGGAAACTGCAGAAAAGCAAGCTCTTGACTGCCCACCAGATAGCGCAACCAGCCTATAATTAGGTTTTGACAGAAGTTAATTGCGTTAGTGTTATGTCGTGCCAATTACTAATTTTGTCATCATTAACCCCTGCTTTTAAGTATTCAATAAATTCTTAAGATTATTTTTCACAGACCACGTGAACCAAAAACAATCCTAGATGCACCGAGATGACCACTCTTACACGTTCGATATATAGTCTGCTAGCATGCTTTATGAATGCATCGATCAATGCTCGCAAAACTATAACATGGCAGTGTGTACTTAAATTCTCATGTGAAAATTTAAACTGCTGATGTGTAGCTTTATCTAAACAATTGAACTAACAAAGCCATAGGTTTTCTAGTGGCAAGTGCAAGTTGCTCCGCCTCTACTGGAGGCTGGATGAATTACCTCAGTCAAGGTTGACTCACTGACAAAGGTCTGCGCCTGCTCTCGCAACATCTCAATTATTGCATCTTTCTTGTGGATTGTTCCAAGAAGGTGCTTCTTATCTTTTCTTAGCTGCTGCAACTGCAACTCTAATTTCTGCTTCCCACCCGACATCTGTGTTTCGTAGTATTTCTAAGCATATTGAGAAGATTTCATAATAAGACAAGGTTGGATATTAGACAGCAGTAGTGTATGCAACTCTTCACGTGCAACCGATTTGTTGTGGAAAGAGATAAGACCCAGCATTTACATTATGTCTACATTGGGATTCGAATAGCTAATATTTGAGCAAGGAAGTTTAAAGTTTGTTTACAAAAATGTGAACATATATTGCTGTTATTAATATTAATAATTTTTCAATTGGTATTTTCAGTTTTAATTTAGATTACCTTCCATGTTGCTGAGAACTTTGCAATAGCATCAGCTAGCTGTTGCTTGTATGCTCTCCGAAGTGTTTCTGTTTGCTGTAATATTAACAAGAGCGGATCTCAATCACATGTATTGCAAGCATCAGTGTATTTAAATCTAGAGATCTACAAGTGTATACAGTAGAGTACTATGAAAGCAACTTCTATTCAGGTGCTGTAATTATGATCAATTAATTACAATGTATAGATTATATGTAAAGATAGAATTAAAATTTAGAGAACCATGCAATACATATTAATCTTTCTTTATTCATGTATATGTACATGATTCTTATTATTATATTGAAATAATGAGCCAAGAGCATTTTGGACTCTCATACAAGATAACGTACATGTGTGGGTACTACATCCATACCTCAACCTGTTTTGCCTGAATCTCAGAGACTTTTTCATTTACTCTGCTATATCTGCACACAGTAGCGATTAGAAAAAAAGTATTAGCAGACATAAAAGAAAAGTAGTGTAACTATGGTCAAGAATACTGGAATGTTAACACAGTATAATATTAATTATTATCATAAGTAGCTGTTGCTGTTGTTGTATTGGCTCTTTTGGTTGTAGATTCATTATAAAGCATTTATGAATTGAATCTTAATAAACCAACTGCAGGGCAAGGTTGCATGTGTGCATGGTGAAGGGTGTAGTTTCAGCTTGCTCACTTATAGTTACTGATAGTAACCTAATATTAATAATTCAGACTGTGGGCCTGGTTAACACTGACTGATGCAAAACAAGAGGAGGCTGATGGAGACTGGCTTCTTTTAGTTGTTAGTTTGACCATCAGTATATAATATTATTATTAACATGTTTACATGGAAAACATTATCATAGGATTATACATACAGATCAACTGCTGCTGTTCGTAGCTCAGTTTGATAGCTGAAAACGAGGCTGTGCTTAGTGCGCTCCATGTCATGTCTTAATTTTTCTGCCACCTTAAAAAATCAAACAGAAACCAACAATATATTTCAGATCCTGCCTATTGCATTTGTCACTTGTATGCTATTTAAATATCTACTGAGCAGTGCTGTAATTAAAAAAAAGAAGTAAAACACCAACGTATTTAGCCACTCATTAGAAAAAAAAATCAACTTAAAATCTATTTCCCATTATTAATTCCAGTATATTTACACATTCTCTATTATTCATGGCCATGTATGCCACGCATAATACCTTGCACATGTCTTTGATAAAACTTTGTGTCTTTGATATTGACAAAATATCAGTCTCCTCTGTCTGTGTTTCAACATCTTTGCCAAAATATCCAACTCTGTCATCCAGATCCAAGTAGTAGCTAATTAATCAAACAAATATTAAGACATATTTTCAAACATTTATATCAATATACATTATATACAGGATTAAGTTTCAGTTTAGATCTTTTAATACATTATTTGAAATCCTATACATGACTATATCTTCTTATCTATTTTGGTATCAAGTTGACTTCAGCACAAAGCAGGGAATTAAATACAAATCATGCCTACAATATTATAGGCCTACATATTTGTATCACTACATTTCATAACTCAGTAAAATCATAGCAGGTAATGTTTCATTGTTTGAGCTCGCAGTCGCATAGAGGTGCATGTTTGTTTCATGATATTTCATAACTAAACTAAATTTAAGTTTAAAGGTATGCTAAACACAGTTGAATGCTAAACACAGTTGTATGCTAAACACAGTTGAATACAAGTCACAACAAATACAGTAGGCCTATGACGACAGAATACTAAATAGGATTCGTTATGATGTCAGATGATAGGACAGTATCGATGAGTATGTACGTACGGATACTCGGATAAGAAATACGATATTTCAAGTCGAACAGTAAAGAAAGACGAAATGAATGATTACAGTCTCGATCCGACTCCAAGTCAACCGTTTCTCAAATAATTAAGTATGTGACATCATAATGAAGATACATCATACACTGATAGTGATACAGCAATACTACTACGACTACTAGTACTACTACTAGTACTAGTAATAGGTATTACTATTGCTGATAGGGTCTATGTCCCCCAGGGTACTGCCGGAACGTACCCTGGGTACGGTCCGGTATACCGGAACGTACCCTGGTACTATCTAATATGCC